CCCCCTCAAACCACAGGTATGGTACCACAAGAACAAGCAGCCCGAGTACTCGTTCGGTATCAGACACAGTCAGTACTTAGCTCCCTTGATCGTGGACCCCCAGGCGGATTAAGCTCCCCTGCCTCATCCACCAATCAGCGCCCTCCGTGGGGAAGCAAGAATCTGTATACTTGGACTTTGCCACTCATGATTTTACCATCACCCCTTGCAGCCTGATTACTTGTAAAATCAAGTGGTCAGTTTCCGACATTGGACTATAAATATATACAATGGCCAATCTTCGGACACCGAGTCTTTCGCTCGGCCTATTTACCACAGATCTACACACGACCTCATAAATTGTCAGAAGGAAAAGAGAGGAGTTTTACTTTTTCTTAATTAGACGTGCTTGGCTTTGGCGGCTTTCCCAACAGGATAAACATTGATTTTCGAAAGTGTGAGATTTAGATTTCGGCTGGATCTCAAAAACTGCAGGGGGTCCAGAGATGCGAGGAGGGTTCTGTTCTTACATCAGCACATCAACAAGAGGCGCCAACACAGAAGTGGAAACCTGACCAATTACAGCCATTCACTCAAACACAGAATGGAAATCATGACCACCCACAGTCGTTTACCCACGGAAGTCCAAAAATGCTCAAAAATAATTCAATCGAGAAGTACTGAAGTCAACCCGCTATGTAATAAAACTATGTTATGTCATGCTGTTAGTATTTCGTTTTCTTCATTCCAAATGTGCCGACTGTTTTGATCAATATATTGTGTGTGTTGTTATTTCGATTATTTCACCCCGATGTGGAAGTCTCATTTCTCGCAGTGTTACAGACGCCTTCACTAAGACACATACGTGTCCAAACTTAACGCCTAAAGATGACGTAAATATTGCAAATTTGCACTGGTCAACAGTCTTCAGTGTGTAGTCAATAGAGTGGCCATGCAGACAAGCGGTGCCTTTGCAGCTTTGGAACTATTCAATCTTTGGTAGTACATTCATTCCTATCCATAATTTTATCTACCTTTGACTCACATAATTAAATGTGGCATCTCATCGACAAAGTGTTTTTTTCTCTAATCTTTTTGGTTTGTACCTGAAGGTTGATATTATATCTAATCATATTGATCAGATTTTGATGTGTAAGCACTCACTTCAAAGCTGACATTTCACCAGAAAGCATTTCATGTAAATAAATCTGCTGTGTAGTATTGTACCTACTTTTATTTGCATTAAAATCAGTTTCATCAATACAGCTTTTTTGTAAATCTACCTAGAAATCACAAATACTCTCTCTCTCTCTCTCTCTCTCTCTCTCTCTCC